CAGCACTTGGGAGCCAGAGGCAGGCAGAGCTCCTTGAGTTCAAGATCAGACTGGTCTACCAAGTGAGTTCCAGGACAGCCAGGGCTACACAGAAAAACCCTGTCTCAAAAGAACAACAACAAAAAGTAGCTAGCCCGCCGAGGGCCAATAGTATGTAAATCTTCCCTACCTAGTGAAACTTTCAAGTAAAGCTTTTATTTTCCCCACCCAGTAAAACTTTTGTTTAGATAACATCCCCTCCACTCCCTGCATTCCAGAAACTTGTTGGTTTGGAACTCTGACTCCTTCCGCCTTCCTTCATTTGCTTTTCATTGATTTTTTTTTTTTTTAAACTAGCCAATCTCTAAAGACTGTGAGGTTGGACTCTAGCTAATGGGGGAAAAGTCACCACCTGTGTTAGAATAAAAACCAAGTGATCAAAAATAAAATAAAATAAACAACAACAACAAAACCCCAAAACCAACTGATCTGCCTACCCCAGTGTGCTTGTATGATTTTTGCAAAAAGAAATGGTCTTGCCCAGCTACTTTCATTTTGTTCCTGAGCTCCTTTATATAATACTGAGATTATTTATTGTTTGTTTCAAACTTCAGAAGGCAAAGGCTGATGGGCCTCTGTGAGTTCAAAGCCAGCTTGGTCTACATAGTGAGTTCCAGATAGGCCAGGCATACATAGTGGGATCCAGTCTCAAACAAAAGAACACACACACACACACACACACACACCCTGCACACACACAAAGAGTAGAGCAGGGGTTTGCATTTGAGGTGAGGACACCAGCAGTCCATGGGGGCAGTCCACCATAGCTGCGGCACAGACCTCAGACAGACAGAGAGGAGGTGACATGGGACATAACGTCATCCGCTGCAGAGAGGCCTTTAGGTTGAAGGTTGAATGGGTGCAGCAAGCAGAAGAAATTCAGGAAATGACACTGGGAACCGAGCTGGCTGTAGAGCACACACAGGAAAGGCTCTGACTTGCCAGGTTAGAAAGTTTCAGCCTTCCCTATCTGGCTCTGGAGCCTCCTGGGTGCTCCACACATCTTCACTAGGGGAACGAATGGAAATGACACATGCATCTGGACCACACCACTGCAAAGCTGCTGGCTTCGGAACAGGACAGACCAGCTACCTCTGTGACCTCTAACCTCTGTGACCTTTCCTCTCTCTCTCTCTGGGGCAGCAACAATGACTCCTTCTTTATGGGGCTGTTGTGAGGAATTAGACAAGATCAAAGCTGTGTGTCAACTAGAAATGTGGACTTAATAAATGTTAGGCTGGCCACTCTGTCCCCATGATAACCAGAGCCAGGCAGCAAAGCTGAGCCATACCACTCACCAACTAGAGACAACAAAGGTGCTCCTGGGATCTGTTTACAGAAGATGTATACTGCAATTCCCGGCTACATGGGGCCTAGTGGGAAAAATTAGAGGTTTTGGTAACAACTTCCTTGAGCCGAAAGGAAATCATAGCGCTGCTTTAATTAAAGGACAGCGTTGAAAGTATCCTCCCTGGGAGTTCAGGCATTCAGAAATTGATGTTTATAGTAACTTACAGTTTTTCTCTTTCCTTGTCCGTTTCGGGATACACAAGATCTTTGGATCAATATGCTATTGACCAGGGTCATCCATCACTACTGGAGCCCTAACAGAGGCTGTGATGGCTACAGGTCCGGATGGAATGTCTCTGACCTGGCTGCTTGTAGGGACGGGGAGGGCCTCAGCCCTTCCAGCAGGCAAAGGAGGCTGTGGTGGTCACTGAGGCTTTAGGATACAGAGCTAAGGTGAGAAAGAATGTAGCAGAGTGACGAACTAGGCAAAGGATTTCAAAATCATTCCAGCCGGGGGGTTAGGAAATTAGTGTATTTTAAAAGACGTTTAGAATGGGCAGTGGTGGGGCACGCCTTTAATCCCAGTACTCAGGAGGCAGAGGTAGGTGGATCTCTAAGTTTGAGGCCAGCCTGGTTTACAGAGCAAATTCCAGGACAGCCAAGGCTGTTAGAGAAAAAAGCAACTTAGGTGTTTGTTTTTAAAAAAACAAAAACAAAAACAAAAACAAAAACAACATATTCAGCCCCTCATAAGAGTTTGACATGAAGACAAATGCTATGGCAATCTGTGCTAATCACACAGAAAAAGAAAAAGAAAGAGAGAAAGAAAAAGAGAGAGAGAGAGAAGAAAAGAAAGAAAGAGAGAAGGAAGAGGGACAGTAGTCAAACCAGTAAGCATGACTTTGACAACAAAGAAACGTCCAGAGTGGTGAGCCTCTGGGGGATTCACATTTGGCCCAGTTCTGAAGGCTGCAAAACATAAGTCAAGCAGGAACAGAAAGTTGTGTGTGTGTGTCAATGTGTGTGCACGTGCTTGTGCCTGTGTGTGTACAAGCATGCATGCGTGCGTGTGTGGGTGGGTGCATGCGTGCGTGTGTACGCATTCTGGCTGAACATTCTTTTATTCACTTTCCCCCCTCAACAACGATCAGCCATCACGGTCTGTGTCTCGGTCTGCAGGAAGCAGCAGAAGCAGCAGGAATGTGAAGTGGAAAAGGAAACCTCTGCGGTTGTGTGCTTCTTCAGAGGAAACACAGGGTGTCAGTGACTGCAGTGGTTGTAGGAGTGGAAGGCAGGTCTGCGTAGGATCTAGTGGGGATACAGGCATGCTGGGCAAGGTCCACTGAGCTGGCCATCTTCTGACGCAGGGAGCCCTGTGTGACTGCGCGTGTGTAGGGTATTCAAGTGCAAAAATCACACCTAGAATAAGATAACCCCTTCCGCCTTTCCTGAGATGATCTTTTTGGACTCTGACTCACAGAGATCCACCTGCCTCTGCTTCCTGAATGAGAGGATTAGGAATATGTACCGGCCACCATGCCTGGCCAAAAATAAATACATATTTGTTTTAAGGAAACTTTGGGGACAGCATTGAGTTGCTATTGAGTTTTTAAGGCTAAAGCACAGGAGGAAGGCAGAGGCCAACCCTGGCAGGAACCCCGTATGCTATGCAGTGAGTCTGGACCCTGCTCTGTGGGTAGCAGGGAATCACTAAGGGAATTTGAACAAAAGCACGGACCCGATCTGTTTGTGGTTAGCCAGCTGGGAGATGGTTCAGTTGATAAAGTATTGGCCTCCAAAGCATGAGGAACTTGAGCTCAGACCCCAGAACCCAGTTAGAACATGGGGGAGAGCAAATTAGGCAGGGAGAGCAAATTAGGCAGGCAAGGAACCTGGGGAGGTTCCTTGCCTGCCAGTCGAAAAGCAGATATTGGGAGCCCAGGTTCAGGGAGCCTCCTTGTCTCAAACCGTCCGGTGGAGCGGGAAAGTCACGGAGGAAGACACCAGACCTCCAACCTCTGCAAGAGTCGGCACTGGTCAGTACATATGGGCACCCCCCACACACATCAGATAAAGGACATTTTTCAGAACCTGGAAGTGTGCATTGAAGAGGATAGAAAAGAGGCAGCTGGGTGGCCCTGCTCGCGGTTCAGGTGAGTGGCAGGAGGCTGCAGAGAAGTTTCCCTTGCGGTTAGCTCCAGTTCCCAGAGTGAGAGATGAAAGGGAGACTTTCTAGCTCTGGAGTCACTTTGCTGTGAATGGTATCAGTTTCCTCATCCTTGAAATGAAGGAGCCCATGAATCACTGATAAGGTCTCTGCTCTCCAGCAAGCACCAGACAGTGTATCAGGGCATCTCTGCTGGCTGTCAGCGTCACCAGGGAGGGTGATGCCCTCTCCATGTGGCCCACTCGTGCCTTCCTCAGCTTCTGTTTCTGTTCCCCACCCTTAACGGCCTTGTCTGAGGACGCAAAGAGAAGGTGGAGTGGAGAGCCTGACTCAAGTCACTCAAGGGTGCCCTCGGCTTTGAAGTCACAGGACCATCCTAAATTCCCTTCCCGAAAATCCCTAACGGAAAATGAAGAGAACACCCCCTTTGGGCCCAAACACCAACGTCTTGTCCCCAATTTTGGATCAGGGCTTGTCTGACCCTTCGATAAGTTAGTCCAAGGCGATGGATAAACCCCGGCTCCCGGCAGGCCGAAGGAAATCGCCACCACGCCTTTCCCGCCTCTTTCCTCTGTCCCGGGTGCCTCCCTGACGCCAGGCAGGATCTTGGAGAGCTTGCTGAGAGCGGGGCGAGGCGGAGGGTGAAGGTGTCGGCGGAAGGTGGGTTGGGACCCGCGTCGCTCCGCGCGCTCCCTCGTCCCCATCCCCCGCCCGGCCGCGCGCCGTGGCGCAGGGAGGGGGCGCGGACGGCGCGCCGCGTCTGGAGCTGCGCAACAAGGCACCCGCGGAGGGCGCGCGGAGAGCCGCGGGCGGCGCCTGCGCCTCGGCCGTGCCCCGCGCGCCCTCGCCGCCCTGGCTCCGCGGCGCCCCCGCAGGCCCCG